CCATAGGGTCTGGTACATAGTGAATGCCCATGAAGTGCTTAAGTGAATGGCTGAAGTTTCCACATCCACCAGTGCCCACTCTGAGTCCATGAATATAGCATGGTACAGGGGGAACACTGGCCAAAGCCCGGGAGGATCCCTGGCACCAGCTGGGGCTGGGCATCAACTAGTCGGGTCTCCTTATTCCAGGCTGGAGCTTTTTTTGACACGAGGAGGCAGTAGAGCAAAGAGAACACACTCTCAAGGCCAGCTCCCCGGCCCCTGGCCCAGCTCCATTACTTTCCAACCATGAGATCTGAGGCAAGTTACTGGATCTCCCTGAGCCTCAGGTTTTCCCACGTGGAACATGGAGACAATAGAATCTGTCCTCACAGAGACGTTAAAAGGCTGGGAACAGTGCCCGACACACAGCCCGGGCTTTACAACTTTTTTGTTGTTATAATCCTGAGTTTCTTCTTTTAATATTTTTTATTGAAGTATAGTTGATGCACAACTTTGCGTTAGCTTCTGGTACACGGTAAAGCGATTCACTTATACATATATATGTATTCTTTCATAGTCTTTTCAATTATGGTTTATTACAGGACATTGAATATAGTTCCCTGTGCTGTACAGTAGGACCCTTGTTGCTTATCCATTTTATATATAGTAGTTTGTATCTGCTAATCCCAAACTCCTAATTTATCCATCCCCCACCTCTCTTTCCATTTTTAGTTACAACTTCTACTACCTTTCAGCTGAAAATCCACATCCCCAGTGTAGTGCCAGGAGGTTTCCAAAATTTAGGATGATCCACTTTTTTGCAGCAAGGACCTGCCCAAGGTTGAAGCCAAGGCAAAAGCAATGTGGTCTCAGCTCGATCTGTCTGACGAGTGGTTCAGGATTTCAGATGACCCACTTCAAACCCCTTTCACCTGGGTGGGGGGCGTGGGGGCTGCCAGAGGAGCGAGACTGAACCTACATTCTTTATATTAAGCTTAAGGACAATCTTGGCAGACACCAGCAAAATGACAAACTCTACAAATCTCTAACACCTCGTAGATCCTAAGATCTGTGAGATGGGGACCCAAAAGTGTCCACATATATTATTTCCTGGGACATGCTGAAGAAGACAGTTACAAAGCACTTTGGAGGTGCTGAAGAAAAAAAATGAGGTGCCAGGAGTGAACGATATTAATAGAGTTGTGGGCTACGGAGAACAACTTTTCACACTCATCCTGTGTGTGCGATATCTATCGCCCTCCCCAGAATAACCAGGGCTATTTTTACACTAGGACTGCACTGTAAGCTCACTGTTACTAGGTCAGCCACCACCTCTCTTTCTTTCTCAGACTTGCTGTTTTCCAACCTAAAACATTCACTCAGATAGCTTTATCTCCATCAGGCACACAACTAATTTGACTTGGTTCTGGGTCATTCTGAAGCCCAGGCCAATCTGATGGTGAGACATCTCCATTCAGCATCACTTCTAATGTCTATTGAATGGACAATGAAAACTCAAGTCAAGGAAGAACCCTGGATGAGTCTTTCCCAGCATGCTGTTGGCCTCAAGTTCCTGCCCTGCCCATTAGCACATGCACAAATTCTCCCTTTCAGCTCCTTGGGGGCCAATCCTGGCACAGGTGAGACATTTACCAGGTATGGTAGACCACAAAAATGGACAAGTCCTTTATTCCCCCCGGTCTCCACTTCCTCTGCCATGTGACCCTGCAGCTCCTAAGAGGTGGAGTCTGGGCTGGCCTTCTGACTGGCTTTGACCAATCAAATGTGGGAGTGAAATTGCCTAGGCGTTAAGAGGCTTTGCACACTCCTGCTTGCTCTCTTGGGATCTCTGCTTCTTCCCTGCAGATAAACAGCTGGCCTTTTGGAGGATGAGAGACTGAAGGGACCAGAGCCAGGTCTGCCCAGTTGCCCCAAGGTTATGAGAGAGACAACAAGAACAACAAAGTGGCAAATCCAGCCTGCAGCTGACCACTGGTACGTGATGGAGCCCAGTTAGCCCAGCCTAACTGCCACCATGCAGAATAATGAGCTAAATAAACAATCGTTTTTAGCCACTATCTTCTGGGGTGATGTGTTACGAGGCACCACTGAGGCAACAGATAACTGATACACCATGGGAGCTGGGTATATCACTGAGCAATCATTTTATTTGGCTGCTACTTTCTCCCTTCTACTTTAGAGCAATACACTAGGAGCAAGAAAGTATCACTCTCCTTAGTCTCACTTATCATCTTTAATGCAGGGTTGGCAGTTTTATGAAACTAGTGTTTGAGGGATTTCACTAAGGGTGGTTTCCATGACATCACTCTGAAAGCCTTAATAATAAAATAAAAGCTAATGTTGATGGGACAACTGACTACATGCCAAGCAGCAAACTCTGAGAGCTACACATGCATCAACCCCTTTAATCCTCCCAACAAGCCCGTGTGGTAGGCACGGTCATTACTGTCCATCTTATTAATGAGGAAACTGAGGTTCAGCCAAGTTAAACACGCTCCCAAGATCTCACAGCTTAAGTGGTGGAGAGCTAGATTTCACAGCCAGGCTTCTGGACTCCACAGAGCATGCTCTTAACCACTGCACATCCTACCTGCTGTCTCTAAGAAGTAAGTTCCAGTAGAGTGTGTGTGTGTGTGTGTGTGCACACGAGCATGTACAAGCATGAAAACAGAGGTGAGCGTGGATGTAGCCAGCCTTACCCGAGCCTGACGCAGAAGCATAGTCGTCGTCATCAATAGGATACACTCCGGAAGCTTCTTCGATGGAGCTGTTGTCAAGGTACATGTCTTTATCGGATGTCAGCTCTGCCCGCTGAGAAAGGAAAGAGAAGGGGTTCAGGATGGTGAGCGATTAGGAAATGAGCTTATTGATCTTACTCTTCAGGTTTACACCTCGGCGACTACCTGCCCCTCTCAACCCACATTTCTGGCCCTTCCCTTCCTCAGGACCCCCTGACAAACTGCATCATGTCAAGGGCTGACCACTGACGAAGGCCTCCAAGGGAGGCCTGTGCAGCCTAACTCAGTGGTGTGAAGATGGCTCAGGGACCGCAGTGCCTCTCCCAGACTCCTTTCGCTGCGCTCCGCTAAACCTGTCTGAGTTCCAGGGGCCCCAGTGCCCATCTCACGCGTTCTTGTTGTCACAGTCGACGAGAGGCTCCCTTACTAGAAAAGCTACAAAACGCTCAAAGTATTTAAGACATTCTTGGAGATGTGTTAGTGTGCTTAGGCAAAAGCACCAGCAGGGATCCTCCAAGGCCCCCTGGATGTCTGCAGGCCTGGCCATGCTCAGAGCATCACCGCTACCTGGCCCCCACTGGCAGCTCCTGGGGAGGACAGGCAGGCCGTCCAGGGCTCCCCACCACAGCCCAGATGACACCCGTGGGGAGCAGTGCCCACGAGGCTCAGGGACCAGGGTGACAGCCCACCACAAGCCATG